TGGTTGCTTTCCTACACAGTAGTGAAGGACATCTAAGTAGATAAACCAGTCAGCCGTTATGGGACCAGTTGTGCACAGTGCAGGAAGTCTCACTATGAGGAGCAGTGGCGTTTCTGATTTTCCCCATTAGATTTTCCTTACCTCCCAGGTAGTTTACTGTTCATCTCGTTTGCTCACAGACGTTAGACCATTAGAAAGGCCTTCATCTGCCGGGCAGTGGTGGGAGAGGAAGACTGCTCAGCCTTCCTCCTAACACGAAGGACAAACCCCTTCTGAACATCAGTCTCTTCTCAGGAAGTTACACAGGAAGTAATAGAGGGGTGAATCTTATTTGGGGAGGGCGGCTGTCAGTTTTTGTAAATTGCTTAAAAAAATGACATGAGTTAACATAACAGACCGTAGCAAGATGTGTATGAACTGGGATAAGACTCAAATTTTGCAAAAGCATAAAGGTTTTGTCCATTTGATTTTCTGAGAGACGTGTCCCCCATCAAAGGTGACACACATCAGTTGGGAAGGCCTGAAGGATGATTGCTAAACCCTAGTTAACTTCTAGAAATTGAGAGTGACATTTGTTACTGTTGCCGGTAGCTGCCACCGGTACAGAGAAGAATGTGTGCTGCTCAGGGGTGACTTGCTTTAGGCATCATGTCTTGGTTCCTGGGCTGGAAGGTCGAGCCTCTGTGTAAGGTCTCCTTTCCTCCCGCTCCAGAAGGAATCAGATACTGGGAGACGGGTAGTGTGCCAAGCAGGTCCATCTGTTTTTCCCATCCAGTTTTTCTAAAGAGAAATTGCCCACTGACAAAGGAGACACACATCTCAAACCAGCCTCCCTAGGATGGGGGCTCAGGATATTCAGGAGGTTAAGAAACATGGGGACCTGCTGCATGGGGAAGGTGCTGTATTGTCTGCATGTGTGCAGTCTGACTTCACAGTTCTCCCTGGGATACTGTTCTTAAAATGGGAAAGTGTGGCCTGAGGGCTGGACTGTTTTCAACATCCTGATGTCCAAGGTCACACTAAGAGACTCATGAAGAACCATGGCCTTATCAAAAATGACCTTCGAGCCCCTAAAGAGCAACTTAGGCAATCTTTATTATGACACACACATCAGAGCTGCTATCTGTAGTTGTATTAGTAGGACTTACAGAACTGGTGATATAAAGCCAGCTGGAAACAGGTAACTACAAGTGAGAAGTACAAACGGCTGGTGTGACAAGACAGGCCAGCTGCCTCTAAGAGAGGCAGGTATATATATACAAGGCTAGACCTTAGACTATGACATCATGGAGGGAAAGCGGTTACTACCAGGCTCTCACCTGGCTTTGGGTCCTTCCATACCTGATAGAGGAAGGCAGCTTCTGTGGCGACTTTGAAAGGAAATGCTAGAGAGCAGTTCTTACATGAGAGGCCTTCCCCCCACCCACAAAGTTATACTTTTAGTGAGCAATAGGCAGATTTGTCTTGAGTCTATTCATTGTTTTACTTTAGATCCAGTCTTTTAACATAGTCCAGGCTGGTTTAGGATTTGTTACCTCCTGCTCCAGCCTCCCCATGTGGATGTACCATCATGCTTGTCTTGTAAGGTCTTCCAGAGAAATGATGTAACTAGATACCCAGGGATCCTAGTTATTTGGTCTCTGAGGATAATTTTCACAAAGTAGCAGAATCATTTTCCATGCATATGAAGACGTCAGCCTCACCTCATGGACATGTCTCATCCCAAAACACTATCACTAATACCCAGACACGGTAGTGGTAAAAAGGAGACCCAAGGTTTCAGAAGTTAACTGTGTCAAACAACCCAATACAGTTGGGGCGCCAGAGCATTCTCTGGCATCTGGGAGCATCCTATGGTTTGTCAAGATGGTGTCAGCCTCAGTGTCTGAGGGCACGTGCAGACTGTGTGCGTTGTAGCTGTAGCCTTAGCCTCCCTGCCTCCATTGCCCACCTTACACGATCTTTCTTCCTAACTCAGGTTTCCTTAGGAAACAAGGAGAGAAGCAAAGGTGTGTTCTACAAGGCACTCCAGAGCTGTCCTTGGGCAAAGGTAAGCTTTAAACAGTGCTATCTTCAGCTTCCCAGGGACCTTCCTGCCAGCTCTGCCTAGCAGTGTCAGGATGTGGCCTTGTGGGGCCGTTTCCTAGTGACACTGTCCCGAGATGGTGCTTTCCCAACATTCCCCACCACTCCAGATGCCCCTCCTACCCAGATGAAGAGGGTTGGGAAACCAAACTGAGGGTGAACCGTAGTGCCTGCTCCACTGTTATTTACTGCCGTCTGCAGTTTTCCCTGGACATGCAGAGCTGCCTGAGCTAGGCAAGTCTCAGCAGGACGGAGAGTGATGGGACTCATTGGGACAGACCCTCCTTGATTTTGCTCCATGCTCACGGCCAGTGTTGGTCTTTCTTTGCTGCTAGGTGCTGTACATGGATGCCATGGAGTACTTCCCAGACGAGTTGCAAGAGATCCTGGATGTGATGACTGAGAAGGAGCTTCGTGTACGCCTGCCCCTGGAGGAGCTGGAACTACTGCTGGAGGACTAGGGGGCTCAGGAGAGCCGCAGCCGGACTTACTGTTTTACATATTATATATGTAACCAACTATATGTATAGATGGAGTCATGCCAGTGATAAACCTTTTGTGGTTGAGATGTGTGTGTGCAGCTTATTTCTTCTGCTCAGCCCTCACTCAGTCAGCAGTGGTCTGTCACGCTGCATGTGTCCATGATCCTCGTTTAGTTAGGCCTTTGACTCCAGAGTGCCATGGAGACCTCCTCCCCCTTTCCCTGGGTTGATAAGCAGAGATACATTGTTCTGTCTTCCGTCCAGCACAGTAGATGGTTATTGCTTCCTGTCTTGCTCTGGTGACTAGCAGAATACATGGGGACCCTTGGGTGAGCCTGGGTACTGCTCACAGCTGCTCTCTATCAGAATCCAGGTGCTCATTGCTCAGTACTGTGGAAACCCTCGGGCAGGGCACCAGCACCCTGTGCAGGAAGCTTGCTGTGACCTTAGAGCAGTCTGAACCATGACATAGCTGTTCCCAGCAGACCTGAGCCTCGTGAAGAGGTCCTTTCTGATCATGACAGCAATGGGAATGCAGTCCCTTCTTATTGGGGGGCTTCAAGCACAGCCTTTCCGCTGTTGGACTGGCCTGTAGGATGGCGTGTCTGTATCTACAGCAGCGATGCCTGCAGGAGTGCAGGATCTCTTCTGACCTTTTGAAACAGTCCCCTAGAGCCAGGCTGGCCTTGAACTCTTGCTTCTCCTGCCTTTGCCTCTATTAATACTAGTTATTTCTGCGTATACTGGGATTTAGATATAGGACCTTGTGCTGTCCTGTGGGTGCTTCTCACTCTGCCAAGTACACATTTCTCATTCTTAGCCTTCAACGTCAGCCAGGTGGCATCCTCAGTGATGAATTTTGATGCTGTGTAGCTTCTCATAGACACCCCATCTCCACACAAACTGTACCCACTCTGCACAGGCTACCCATGTATTGTAGCCTTTTGGTCTCCACCCCATGATAGCCACACCCTAAATCTGAAACCTGCAAAAACCTATGGAAGGCTAATCAAGGATGGTGTCAGATGCTTATAATCCAAGCAGAGGCAGATTGACAAGTCCAGGTCCAGCCTGGGCTACATATTAAGTTCTTGTCTTAACAAAAATAGAATTCCAAATAGCTGGGCAATGTTAGTACAGGCCTTTAGTCCTGTCACTCAGAAGGCAGAGGCAGGTGGATCTCTGAACTTGAGGTCAACTGGTCTGGCTATACAAATCTCTCAAAAACAAGAGGGCTGGAGAGATGGCTCAGAGGTTAAGAGCACTGGTTGCTCTTTCAGAGGTCCTGAGTTCAATTCCCAGCAACCACACGGTGTCTCACACCATCTATAATGAGATCTGGTGCCCTCTTCTGGCATGCAGGCATACATGCAGGCAGAACAAATAAAGTGGGAAGGCTGTCCTGGGTTATGTGAGTAGGCTTGTCACAAGACTGTCTGAAAAGTGACAAAGGAACATAGAAAGGGCAGACAACAGGAAGATGGATTGAGGATGGAAGGGTCTGGGGTACAGGAGTAAGAATAGCCTCTACAAGCTGCAAAAGGTCCTCAGTTGACAGCAAGTGCTGGCCTCAGCCTTGTGGCTCTAAGGAGCTGAATTCTGCCAACCTGGACCTTGAGGAAACTTCGTCCTCTTAGCATCCAGAAAGGAGTGCGGTGGACACCAAGGTTCTAACTTTCTGGTGGTCTTTTGACCTGTAAACTGAGATAAATTTGTGTTGTTTAAACTGAGTCATGGTGACAACAGAAAAGGAATATGCCTTCTCCCCACAGGCCACCTGCTGCTTTTTGTGGCTTTGAGGAACCATCTTATTAGAAAGGAAATACAAAGCGCTGAGGTTTCTGAACCCGGAACAAAGGCAGGCACCATTGGGGCAAGGTTCTTCACTGGCTTTTAGGGATCCTCAGCCTCTTGGGAACATGTATTGCCCACTGGCCCACAGAGGAAATTGGTTTCCTAAAAACAGACACATTAACGTAGCCTTTACTATTCAAAGATCACTGGCCCCATGGCTCTTGTCTGAGGCAATGGCTTTGGACACAAGGTTGCCAATAAACTTCCCTGGTGCAGGACCCTCCTGTCTGCTGCGGGGAGCTGTGGCTACAGAGCAGTGGTGGAATGTTGCTTATGTTGACAGATACTTGAGGCATTTGGAAGACAGAACTTGAGCTGAGGAAATGTCTCTTCCCCCCCTGTCAGATGGGACTACAGGCAGGTCTGTTGGGCATTTCTTAATGGACCCAAGCCCACTGAGAGTGGTGCCACCCCTAGGCAGGTGGTCCTGGAGTGTCTAAGAGAGCAAATAGAGCAAGCCAGGAAGTAGCATTCTTCCAGGTTCCTGTTCTGACTTCCCATCAAGAAAGACCATAACATGAAATAAGCTCTTGCCCCCACCCAGAGTTGGTTTTGGTCATGATGTTCATTACAGCAATAGAAAGCAAACCAGACAACCCTTTATTGGGAGCAGAGAGTAGCACAACACGATGACCAACCCTGCACGGCATCCTTGAAGATAGGCCCTTGACTAGCAAAACTCACTGGGAAATGGGTTCCTTGGGGCAGCTTCCCATCTTCCCAGGTGGGGGAAATTCATCAACTTCCCTGAAGGCAACCGTGGGTCACTAGAGATAGAGCCCCTCAGGGGTGCCTTCTTGTTTTTTATAGAGAACATTCTCTTTAGATTTTTTGAAATCTTCATTTGTAACTTTCATTCTGCGTTCCCGCAAGGCCATCAAGCCAGCTTCTGTACAGATTGCCTGGAAGAAAGAACAGTATGAGGCAGGCCAGCCTGATCTACAGAGTTCTAGGACAGCCAGGGTTACACAGAGAAACCCTCTCTCAAAAAACCAAACCAAACCAAAAAAAGAACAGTATGTTCAGCCTGAAACACTTATTTTTATCTTACAGAATTCAGAGAGAGATTTTTGAAATAAATTATAAAACAGACAAAACACAAGTTGTTCATTTGGGATCAGGTTATTTTTTAAATGTCTCATGCATCATAATTTCTGAAAGAATCCAAGACTATAACTGGGAAGACTTTTAGGGAGTCGACTGGCCTAGGGATGTGGAGTTCTGAGACAAACTGTGGTTTGCCTAGTCATTAAATTCTTGTAGCTTCACTTTCCTTAAAGATATTTCTAGGAGATGGAGAAAGTGATATGCCAAAGGCAGGGAATTTACTTACAGGCAGAGCACATATTCCCATCAGATATGTTGGCATAGAATAATTATTCTAATATGTTTTCTTAGTAGTTCTTGCCAAAAGTGAAACAAGAGCCCTTGTAACACGTGTATTAATACAATCCAAGGCACTGGGGGGATGGCTAAGGAGCCGAATGCAGGCTGCTCTTGCAGAGGACTGAGTCTGGTTCCTGGAACCCACTACAGGCTCACAACTGTCTGTAACTCCAGCTAATCTGATGCCCTCTTCTTGCCGCTGCAGGCACCTGTACGCCTGTGCACATTCCCACACACAGACACACCTAATTAAAAATTAAAAAACAAAAACAAAACCAACAACCCCCAAACATACAAACCAACAAAATAACTAAGTGAAAATAGTTGTGGAAATGGCCATCCGATTATTTATTTTTAAATGGTTCAACCAAAAAGCAGGTGTGGATGAGGACAAGAAAAGGTTAGCCATTTAAGTGTAGGTGGTGGGCACGTGGGTATACATATGCTGGCATTGCAACTTTTCTGAGTGCTTGAAAAATTTTAAGAAAAGTTCATGTAGGGCTGGAGAGATGGTTCAGCGGTAAAGAGCACTGGCTGCTCTTCCAGAGGACCAGGGTTCAAATCCCAGCACCCACATGACAGCTCACAACTGTCTATAATGAGATATGATGCACTTATCTGGCCTGCAGGCATGAATGCAGATAGAACACTGTATACATAATAAATAAATGAATCTTTAAAAAGTTCATGTGGTACAATTAAAAAGCAATCTAAGCTATTTAACCTCAGTGTAGGCATTGGCCCAGAAAAGCACCGTGTGTGTCACTTCTACCTAGCCAAGGCACCCATGCTGAGGAAGATCCCACTCCTTGAATGAAGGAGCCTGCCCCACACATTGCTCATAAACCTTGATATAAAGACTGGGCAACTGAGGAAAAACGTATCAACTCATATTCACAACAAAACCAACAGGGAAAATCAAGTACCCATCAACACAAGGTGGGGGTAAAAGTGCAATGTGGGGGCCCTCTGCAGCTCTGGGGTGACCTCTCCCAGCAGACTCCTCCCTGAGAGAGGACTAAGGGCCAAGTCTGCCTCACCTGAGCAAGTCACTCAGGCCTGGTGCAGTGGGCTGCAAACTCAATGTTAGTGACTGATCCTTGTGGGGCCACAGGGGTCATTTAATGACTTCGAATACAAAGCAAACCTTCCATTTGGATGTAGTATTAACCCCACAAGGTTGACTATGTCAGTAAGACCTAGGTATCCACGCACTTGGTCTAACTGCCACCTCCAGAGTTTGCAGTCTTTCCCAAGAGGTCAAATTCCCAGAGGCAAGCCCACCCAGTTACTCACCTTGATGTCAGCCCCGGAGAGGTCATCCTTTGCCATGATCAAGTCATCCAAGGTCACATCGTCAGCCAGGGTCATCCTGCTTGTGTGAATCTGGAAGATGCGCTTCTTGGTCTTTTCATCGGGCAGGGGGAACTCAATCTTTCTGTCAATGCGGCCTGCAGGGACAAAGCTTTCAGCCACTTCCATCCAGACACAGACTCGATCCTGATTCAGAGTCTTAGCCCATCCCCACAGGTGTCAGACAACAATATAGGGATGACACCCAAACCCTAAAAAATAGACATCACTTCTGTGCTTTGTGAACGTCTACATCTGAACCCACCCCACTTAAAGCCCCTGATTTTTAACTTCAGGAATAAACACAGGGACATCTTGGACGGCATTTGGTGACCTACTTTAGAAACGTCACAGAAGCTAGCAGCAAATTATGGCTTCCGGTGCTACCAGAATGTAAATATAAATCATGGCCTATGACTCTCAAGTGCTGGAGGCTAGAAATTGAGTATGGGGAGGAAAGGATCACAGTGTAAAACTAGACTGGGAAGGGCCAAGCTGCAGAGGTTAATTCTAGCCAGATCTTACGGAGACAGACTTGAACTCATGCTTATACATGTGATAAGGTCAACCACAGATACCCATGACCTTGTTTTCTTTTTTGGTTTTACGAGACAGAGTTTCTCTGTATTGTTTTGGAGGCAGTCGGTCTAGCCTGGCCTTAAACTCACAGAGATCCGCCTGCCTCTGCCTCCCGAGTGCTGGGATTAAAGGTGTGCGCCACCACCGCCTGGCCCATGACCTTGTCTTCTGAGACCAGTGTCTCATTGACCTGGAGCTTGCCAAAGGCAGCTTACTATGTAGGCTGGCCAGTCAGTGAACCCCCTATCTGTCTCTGGTTCCCCAGTGCGGAGATCATAGCAGCACACCATCACACCCACCTTTTATATGTGGGTTCCACAGATCAAATTGAGGCCCTTCTGCTGACAGGCAGGCACTTTTCTGACTAGACCATCTCTCCAATCAAGGAGATGTGTTTATGGTAAATTATGCTGCACAATAGTATTTGCCATTCTGTGTACTGTTGTATAACACCCCCCAAAGCACAAACTCATTAATTATTCAACAAGGAAACAAAAGCAAATTTGACCTGGTCTGATAAGTGCTGGATCCAAAGTTTCTATTCGGTTTGTAGCCATGATAACTTTTACATCTCCCCTCGAATCAAATCCATCCAGCTGGTTCAACAGTTCCAACATTGTCCGCTGAATTTCTCTCTCACCTCCAGAGTTTGAATCATATCTTTGGAAAGAGAAGAAATGACCCAGCTATTCTGTTAAAAGGACAGGCACAGCAAACATGCAGCATGGAACTCAACATTCTTTTCTTGGCCCAAAGGCCTCTCCTATCACCGTAGCAAAAGTGTCAGCATCCGTGCTTTGGCGGGGACTTGCCTCTCAAAGTTTCCATCTAACAATGGCCACATTGATGGATACGGGATTGGCGCCTTCTAAAAGGCCTGGTGGTGGGAGCTGGCACAGGCCCCCTTTCTCTGATGTTCGGCTGGGTGCTGGAGGACCGAGAAAAAGCAAGACCCTGGACAGAAGCAGCCCAGATGATAGCTAGTGTCCTGATCTTAAACATCATGGCTCCAGAATAGAGGGAAAACAAGCTTTTGCCTTTTTAAATAACTCAACTGTGGTGTTTTGTTTGCAGCAGCAGAGACGACACTTTTCAACCATTACAGATCACGTATCTGCACAGCCACTCTGTGCCTCAAGCGCCATTTTTCCTATCTCCGTTTGGTGCCTGATGGCCCAACATACTAACTGGAGGGCAGAGACTGCCATCATTACAGCGAGTCTCTGGAGTCGGGATGGTCCGGCTCCATGCAAGTGCTATGACACAGATGATCTGTTTCCAGACATTGCCTGGGTGGGTGTTTAAGGCCCATGGAGGTCAGAGAGCAAAGCACCCTGAGGTGGCGCACAGCAAGGACCTACCATTGTTTATCACATACAACAGTTCAGGGCAAGCCTACCTTTTGGTCCCAATGGCATCAATTTCATCAATAAACACAATGGATGGTGCATGTTCTTCAGCAACTCGGAAGAGCTCCCGAACGAGTTTGGGTCCATCACCGAGGTACTTCTGAATAAGCTCTGAGCCGACCACTCTCAAGAAAGTGGCTGAAGTTTGGTTTGCTACTGCTTTGGCCAATAATGTTTTACCTATTTTGGGTAAAAAGAATAAGACAAAGGAGAAAACTATGTAACTGTTGTTAAGAACCTCCATCCTAAGGGATGGACACATACCAGAAGCTGTCTGGTGCTAACTTTGACTACTTTGAATTCTTCTTAAAGTTATCACAATAATGTATTGACCTTTACAGCTTAGGACAACTACCGGTAATGAATTAAATGATGATAAAATGCATTTCTATCATTATCTAGCAAATATTTACTTAGTACTACTGCACCAGTAAATAGACCTGATCCAAATACCTCAGAATAACCTTGAAACGCCATCTCCACTACGGGTCCAAGGTTTGGCCACGTTCTAGATGAATGTATGCATGTCTTTGAGGCTGGGACCAACACGGTCAACCAAGATTGAGAACTTGTTTATGTTGTGTGTGTGTATAAGGGGTGGTATTGGTTTGCTGGACTGAACCAGTGGCTTTTGCATGCTAAGCAATATGTTCCACCTCTCCCTCCACCCAGCCCCAGAGTTAAGCTAAGAACTGTGGTGTCTGATATCTCCATTGCTGCCCGAGAGAGAGTGGTGTGTCTACAGTGTCCCACATGGCATACCTGTTCCTGGTGGACCATAGAGAATGACCCCCTTAGGGGGTTTTATCCCCATCTCTTCATAATACTCAGGATGGGTAAGAGGAAGCTCCACAGATTCCTACACAGAAGAAGCAAAATGAAAGTCTAACTGAAGTTATTAGCATTATTTGACATGAAAGAAAATATCTTGCTTTCCACAAAAATAAGTAGAAATCACACTCTTCTAAAAGAAATACACTGGACTTCCATGCGGGCTAAGGCATGCTTAAGAAGACATGCGTATCATTGAAGCTCTATATGCCTTCCCTTTCTAAGCCATGCTGTTTCTCTTTTCTTTTCCAGAAGTCAGCCTTGAGCATTGTTTAAGACATTCTGGAGCAAAGTAAGGCTGAAGTGGGCTAAAACTCACCCTTTTTGATTAAACTACAGCCAGAACCTAGAAAGATGTCCTCCCAGCACAGGGCATTACATTATGTGCCCAGTCCAGCTGTCTGAGAGGTCCACAGTGGAGACCTGTGGTAGCCCTGACTGCCTTCCCTATGGGAAAGCAAGCAGAGCACTGGGCCATAGTCACTGACTAACTACCTCTCTCCCCAGGCTCCAGGACCACTCTGTCCTAGGCCCCAGCATTTGTGTGAGCATTGCTGTTACACCTCCATATAACAGCACAAGTAAGCACAGCTAGGAACATCATGTCCTCACACAAATTCATTCAACATTAAGTATGCAAAGTGTTAAAAATGTGGCAGGCCGCCGGGCGGTGGTGGCGCACGCCTTTAATCCCAGCACTTGGGAGGCAGAGGCAGGCGGATCTCTGTGAGTTCGAGGCCAGGCTGGACCGACAGCCTCCAAAACAATACAGAGAAACCCTGTCTCGTAAAAACCAAAAAAAAAAAAAAAAAAAAATATGGCAGGCCTATCACACAGTTTACTGTGATTTCCGGTTCTTAACAGCACAGAACACATAAAAGTACACAGCTGGAATTAATCAATAAAGAAAAATAAACATGCAAAAACAACTCCAAAGCATCCTAAACAGGAAAGCTGGAGACCAAGTCTGGAAACCCATAGCTGGTCCTTTTCATACCTTAATTTCCTGGATTTGGTTGTCCAGTCCCCCAATATCTGCATAGGTCTCCTGGGGGGCCTTTTCCACCTTCATCACTGTGACCAGAGGGTCTGTGTCATCCATTAGCACCCCAATCACAGCATGCACCTACAAAGGATCAAGTCTTAATGTGACTGTGAGGCCCTTTCACCACTTATGACACGCAGTACCAGTTACAGTATCTTTCTCCCCATTCCTGTGAGTGCTGTGGTGATGCACTTCCGGAACAAACAACCAGGTCTAAGAGGAAGGTCATATTCCTGAGGGTTTCCTTAAAGACCAGCAACTCACCTTGTGGTTGAGCAGGACTGAACAGCCTGGCTCCAGAAGATCCTTGTCCACAAATGACAGGATGCTGACGTAGTGTTCCGAGCCCACGGATGTGGACACAATGGCGTGATTATCATCAATGATCTCTTCTAAGGTTCCTACGGACATGGGGGTCCCCCTGAGATCATCCACTTTTGATCTTTCCTCCTAAATAATAAGCCAGGTAGGGAAAGCACATTAACCTTAAGCAGATGACTTCCTGTCTGCCAGTTAGAAAGCAGCAAATGCTGCCTGTGTTTGCATCTGAGCTCCCGGGGCCCTCTAGTCTCTGCCCCGCCTTGCTGTCAGGGTTACAGGTATGCTACTCAGTAAGAGGCTGCCCAGGTTTTTCACATGACTCTCACCTGATGACAGCTTTAGCTCTAAACTGCACCCACTTAGTAAAGAAGGCAGCTACACAGAGTTCTCCACTTACCTCTTGCTTTTCTTCCAACGGTTTCATCTGCTCCTGATTTCTAATGAATTCTTCCTCCATAAGAAGATAGTCTTTTATTCTCTCTAACTTCAGTAACTTCAGGCGGCACTGAGTGTGAGGTGTTACTACAATTAAAAAATAAGGCATACTATATTTGGAACCTAGAAATTTACAATAAAGTTTTACTTTATGCTCATCAGAAAGCCACTAAGAAACTAAGTTCGGGGCTGGCAACATGGCTCAGTGGTTAAAGGGCTTGCTGCCAAGCCTGAAGACCTGAGTTCTGCCCCTCAGACCCACAGGGTGGAAGGACAGAACTGAGTCCTGTGAGCTGTGCTTTGACCTTCACACGCTCACAACTGCATCCAAGTGTGCATGCAAGCACATTGTGCACACACTGATAAAGGAGCCGAGGAGATGGCTTAGCGGTAAGAGCATCTGCTGCTCTCCAGAGGCCCTGCGCTCAGTTCTTAGTACCCACACGGCAGCCCAAAACCATGTGCTTGGCACACACACAGTGCACATATACACAGGCAGGCAAAACACTCATACACATAAAATAAATCTTAAAAAAGAAAAAAAACCCAACCTAATAAAGAGGAAACAAGTTCACACAACCCAAATTTTAATATCGTAACACTTCATTTTCTAGAATGAAGATGTTTCTGAGACTGTATTTGTAGTTCAATTGTATTTCCATTGTGCGGCATACTTAATCCCAGCACCTGGGAAGCTAAGGCAAGAGGATCATCAAGATAAAGGCTCAGTAGGTAAAGGCATTTGCTGTGCAAGCCCAATGACCAAAGTTCCACCCCCAGAAAAGTGACAAGAGAGAACCAACTCCCCAAAGCTGTCCTCCAACCCTTACACACACACTGTAGCATGTGTGTGTGCCCCCTGTAAAATTACAAAGCAATAAATGACTTCCACTTTTAATACTTCAGAGGGGTTGGCTATTTAAGGACAATGAATGGGCTTTCCTTCCTTCCTTCCTTTTTTTGAGAAAGGGTCTCTATATGGAGTCCTGGTTGGTCTACAACTCAGTGACTTATCTGCCTGTCTCTGCCTCCTGAGTGCTGGGTTAAAGACGTGCTCCACAGTGCACTTTGGACGGGACCTCTTAGCATGAGACACACTCATGTAATGTTGCATTTTAAGATAAAACATAATTTCTGCACCAACCCAGGGAAGACTCCACAGGAGCTAAGTAGAATGGGTTATAACCACAGCGCTAATGCTGCAGTCTTCCCGATACTCCCTGCCTCCCCTTTATACTCTGTGCTTCATGCAGAGTGGCTTCCTGGGAGCTAGGAAGACAGAAGAGGCGCAAGCGCATTACCCAGTGGCAGTTTGCTGGCAGCATCTGGTCCCTTCGTTTTCTTCTTCTTTTTCCCCACTCTAGTTGGGACGGGAGGCTCATATTTCTTTTTCTTGTCCTTGAGTTTTTACAAGAGCAGGAAAAAGAATTCACATGGAAATCACAAAATGTACATTTATTTTTGTATTGGTATCATCTATTTCTAGTGGGTACAAATGTCATTTTTCAGGATATTTAAAATAATTGTCCTTTTTATCAATACTTTAAAAAAATTAAATATAGTTACATATTTCCCCCTTCTCTCTCATCCCTCCAATCCCCATAACCACCCCTCCCACTGATGGCCTCTTTTTGATTATTTTACATATATAAATTCAACCTGCACCTAAATCACATCACACATTCCTGCACTCTGAGATTTTACTGCATCGAGTAAATGTAATCTCTTTAGAGAAATGGCAGTGACTCAGGTTTTTCAGTAAGTCGAGGTCAGAATTTAGTTACCTGCCAAAAGTTTGAGTAAGGTGAGGCTCGGCACTTCTCACACCTCAGTATGCTACACACTTAGGCATCTATTTTAAAACTTTCACAATGTTCATACTTTAAAAATCATCAACTCAGGCCAATAAGCTTCTCAAAAACAGGAAAGAGGTGATCCACCTGTAAACTGGGTTACGGAAATAACTACTACATCTCTCTGCTTTTAGAGTTTGTGGCTTCACAAAGAACTCACTGAGACCCAATGGTGGTTTCCACATGTAAATATCTTGCTTCTTATTTACCTTGTCATCCTTCTTGCCACCTCCAGGTCCATGGCCACCACTCTGACTTTGACCCTGTCAAAAAAAAAAAAAAAAAAAGACATCAATTCAGAAAACAATCATTGTTGACAGGTCTGAGAATAAGGCCTGTGGAATCTGAATTCTGGTTCCACTATTATAGACCATCTGGCCGTGGAAAGTCAGGCTCTTCCTCTGGTGTCCTTTAGTGGATGATTCCAGCTCCTTCCCAGCCAAATATACCCTTAGCACTTCTATGGATTAAGTTCTAACGATAGACCACTGGGTCAGGGTTTTAAATATTGTCACTGTAGCTTTACTGTGTTGGTTCAATCCAATCCAGTCGTATTCTTCACACTTCTGTCTCTATCTTCACACACGCACGCACGCACGCACGCCCGCACCCATTCTCCTCCAGGCCATGCCTTCTTATTTGGCCCTCAGCCTCCCAGGAGAGAGCGATTAACCTCTAAAACCATCAGCTGATCCGTCAATCCTCCCCCAAACCCACCAGCTGTTCTGTATAGGCCTTAGCTCAGTAAGCCCAGCCTTTGCCAATCTGGCTACACCTAGCCTTCCCAGGTTCACCTACCATTCTCAAACCTTTCCAGTTTGGCTCCAGTGGAAGACATTTTCCTCATCTCTGGGACATCTTACATGTTTCTTGGTCTCAAAGAAGAGTTACACACTTTATAAAGTTCTTAAAATATGCTGAGCACTGTGTGAAGCATTCTTGGAATATTATCTCATTTGGTTTTAAAAAGAGATTCCTTTTCTTAAAAGTGTGTGTGTGTGTGTGTGTGGTGTCCCAGGATATCAGAAGATGGTGTTAGATTTCCTGGAGCTGGAGTTACTACTGGCTGTTGTGAGCTTCCTGACAGGCTGCTGGGGACAGAACTTGTGTTCTCTGGAAGTGCAGTAAGTGCTCTTAACCCTCGAGCCAATTAATTCTTAGCCCCCATTTACATATAAAGAGACCAAGGTCCAGAGAGGTTAAGTGACTTTGCGTATTGTCACAAAGTTTGTGAGATATAAGTGCAGAATTCACACTGCGGTCTTTCTCTATAGCAAACCCTGGGTGTTTCTTAACTGCTCCACCAAAGACAGGATCTGTGTTCCACCAATGGCCACTTAATGCATTTCAGTTTCCTTACTCGAACGGGGATATCAATAATTATCCTCGAGGCTGTTCTAAGAAATAAGAACTATGGGGGAATGTCTGGCGCATGCTCAGAATACTTTTCAGGACCTTGGCGGGTTCTGGCCTTCACCCACATCCAGGTGCAGGGCCGTGCAGCTCAGGCTGACCTCAAGGCTGTCTCAGGTCCTTGGCATTTTCTGATCCCTCTGACCAGCCCCTGCTTCCCTCGGGGACTAGTACGGATTACTCCCTCACTCCTCAGATTTCACGCCCTCGGGGGTCCTTCGCGGACACCCTAACAAAACCAGTCACGTAATGATGGCCGGCCTGGCCCTGCTCCCTGGCACGGCTATTGTCTCCCTCCTCTAGAATGGAAGGGGCCCGGGGGGCAGAGCGACGTCGTCGTCCGTGCTCCCCCGGTACCCTCCGTGCCTAGCCCGGACTCCGGCCCCACAAATCGAACCGGAGAGCGCCGAGGCGTCGGCGGGTTGAGTTCTACGCTGGCTCCGTGGCTCAGCCGCTGTCACCCGCGTCGGCCGGGCTGCCCCGCTCGGCTCCAGCCCCTCAGCCTCTGCTCGACCGGCTCCCAGCGGGTCTGTCCCCGTGATTGCGCGGGGCGCCGTCCGTCCCGCTCGCTCGCCCGCCCGCCTGAGTCCGCCGAGGAGCACGACCCGCGTCCCCGCTCCTCCGATGGCCGAGGGGCCCAGGCCCGGGCCGCGTCGCCTCGTCCTCCCCCCCCCTTCCGTGCCCGCGACCACCGGCCGAAACCCTGAGTCACTCACCATCTTTCCCTAGTCGCCTGAGCCTCCGCCGCCGGAAGTGCATCCACCGAAACGAGCCCGTCAGAAGCGGAAGTGACTAAGAAAAATCTACGGAAGACTGTGAGGTCCAATTCCCTCCCAGGAGACGTTGAGCGCGAAGGGTTCGTCGCCGTTGTTTTGCACAGGGATTGGGTTAAACACTTGTGGGCAGAGCTTAAAAGTAGTTTACTCGAGGGAATTGTGAATAGCTAATGTAGGGCTATTGTCAGTAACTTAAGACAGTGATCTTTGTTGTCATAGAATTGGGGCAGTTTTGAAACTTAAAAATAATTAAATTACGCAAAAATTATAGACAGAAAGAAGTATTTGCGCCAAGAATTGGAATCGTACTTGGGACTGAAAAGTTGATGTGTAGGCTGGACACACGCCTTTAATCCCAGCCCTTGGGAGGTAGAGGCAGGAGAATATCAGTGAGTTGGAGGCCAGCCTGGTCTACAAAGCGAGTTACAGGACAGAGAAACCCTGTCTCGAAAAACAAAATAAAAACCAAACCAAAATCAAAACAAAGAAAGGAAAAAGAAAAGAAAACTGCTGTTCTTGCAAGTTCAGTTCCATCACTCACAATGGGGTGGCTCACAGCTCCCTGTAACTCCAATTCCAGGGGATCCCTCACCCTCTTCCGGCATCCAGGGCACCTGCAAGTACGTGGTATGTAAACGCACGCATGTACACATAAATAAAATTCTTAGAAATTTAACAAAGTCAGTGAGGACACTGAAAATGGACAGAGTCCAAGTGACACTGAGGAGGGTCACCCACTCTTGGGACCCTGGCCAGGTGTGTTTAAGTATTATCGTTAATTAGTGTTATTAGCGTTAAAAACACTGAGTGAAAAGTTCTTTAAGTTCTTAATGCCCGTACTCCTTATATTCTTTTTGCTAAGTAAGGAGAGGGTTGGGGAGAGGAAATCTGACTCCCTGATTAGCAGCTAACCAGGCTCTGCCTTGGTGCCCTGGCTACTCTGAACCAATGGGCTGTTAGTCAAACAGCCAGATTCACTAGGTATTTTGAATACTCCGCAGACACCTTGAGAAAACAGTACACAATCACAGCCGGTTGCCTTGGTTGTTTGAAACACTTTGTACCAAACTTTTGGCTTTTACCTCAATGAACTCCGGATGACCCTGCAATTATTTCTAACTCAGGCCAGAGGGGGCTCATTTTCCCCGAGGGTCTAGCAGAGGGACTGTTGTAAGATGGGCGTTAAAGAGGTAAGGTGGTTGGTGCCAACACAAACCTTCTGATTATCCTAACCTCCTTCGTTATTTCTATGCTCCAAGCCTGCTCATTGAGTTGACTCATAGAGACTCCCCTGTGCTGCCCACCGGATGTGGTAACATTAGGCTCAACCAAAGTCTTCGCTTGAGTGGTCTTTTCTTGCGGGCTTTAGCGGTAAAGGAAGGAAGCTAAATGTACTCTCAAGGGGCTGGAGATGCGAACTGGTAACACACAGAGAAAAACGGCAGAAACAGCAGAGCTGTGGACCGACAGTGGCAGCCACAGCCTAGATCTCACCACTGACAGCTGAGCAATTGGTATCGGGCAGCCGAATACTTTGTCAGCAGTCGGAGGCCGGAGAAGAGTGACATGAGCAGAGAGCTGGCAAGGAGAGGAGAGCTGAGGGACATCGCAGAGACACTACGGTGCTGGCTGCCAGAGAGCTGTCCCTTGTTCAGGGCCAACGGTCTCAGATGCCCCAGGCTTTAAGAGTGGCTGGTGTAAGCCCTAAGGAACCCTGGCTTCTGAGGTCTACAGTGGAGCTATACGGCCACTGATGCTGTCAGCTGCTGAGGTGTCCCAGCATGGAGGCTCACCTGGAAGTTGCCCAGCCAGCTGCAGCCAAAGGCGGTCCTGATGTCCTAGGACACAAGAGCTGTGACTTGCAGAGGTAAGGTTCTCACTAGCCAAGACCGTAGCAAGGCCAGAACACTAGAGGGCGCCATCTGCCACCGCTGCCACCTGTCTGCTGGGCTGCCCACTGCTGCTGTCCACTGGGAAGCAAAATCTGCCAGAAGCCAGCAAACAAAGTGTTTCTCCTTACCTATGTGTGATTTCTATCCAGGTAGAACAAAAGGACCTAAGCGAGATGATTAGTGACACAGGGATAGATTACTCCACAAAATTTATATTATATATATATATGTATATATAATATCACATATATAATCTTTTTGGTTGCATTTAGAAAACAATGGCTTCCTTAGCACACAGGAAAGGAGTTTGGAGTCCCCCTCTTACTTTGATGATTAAAGTTGAAGTTGTGAGGTAAAAATGAACTTGGCCAGGGGTGATGGCATGCACCTATAATCAAAGCAGAAACCACTGGAATGTTTTATCAGGGCTACTTTTTCTTCATTTGGGTCTCAGTCCCAGAGCCTCATACAAGAAAGGAAAGCATTCTACCTCACTGTGTATTTCAGAAAGCTAGTTGGAAGGGTCTCAACCCGTAACCACATAGAAATGACTAACAGTGAAAGAAATAGATGCTCTTGCATGGCTTTAAATATCACATAATTTATGCATGTACTTTAATGCCATATACTGTATGCTTTTTTTTTTACAAAGTTAAAAATTTTTCGCTTGCGTCTCTGTGTGTCTGCAGGTGTGCCCATGCCACAGCATGCACGTGGGGGTCCGAGGACGGCCTTTGGGACCTGGTGCCTGCCTTCCACATAGTAAGGCAGGGCCTCTCTTGTTTCCTGCCGCTGCATAGCGTGCTCCAGGCTAGGTAGCCCGCATGCTTATGGTGGACTCTTCTGCTTCTGCCTCCATCTCACTATAAGAGGCCTAGGATTGCAGACAGACACAGTATCTGAAAGGGGTCTGGGGCAATTTTAGTATTCACTTTATATGTTTGGGACTAAAACATTTTGATATTTTTATTATATGCACTCCTGTAAATGTATTTTGGACAAAATTACCTGACATGTTAATCGGGTATCCTAAGTAAACCCCAACTTCAGAGTTCTGGCTATACTGTTGTCCACACATGTTCTGTGGGAGAATTTATTTTCCTGGTGCCTGCATTTCAGATACTTATCAGCAGAGGGCGCACCACAACCAAACACTGGCTCAGGTAAATGGCTTTGTAATGCCTGGTGCACATGCCTTTAATCCCAATTCCAGCCCTTGGGAGGGAGACAGTGAATCTCTGAGTTTAAAGCTAGCCAAGTCTACTAGTTCCAGGTCCAGCTAGTTCCAGGACAGGACCTCCACAAAGGAAACTATAAAAAAAAAGGGGGGGTTGGGGAGGCTGGGGTTCTGGAGTCTTCTCTGCTCTTGGGCTGCCAGGGGCCCCAGGAGCTCTCTCTTCCCTGATCCACTCTTTGTCCCTGTGACCCTGAGCCCTTTAGTCCAGAGGCCTCTTGTGGTGGTGTGAACAGGAATGCCCCATAGACTCAAGTGTTTGAATGCTTGGCCTACAGGAAGTGACACTATTAGGAGGTGTGGTCTTGTTGGAGTAGGTGTGGCCTTTTTAGAGGAAGTGCGTTACTGTGGAGGCAAGCTTTGAGGTCTTATATGCTCAAGCTATGCCCAGTGTGATACATAGTTCATTTCCTATTGCCTGCAGATCACAATGTAGGACTATGAGCACCAGCACCATGTCTGCCTGCACACTGCCATGCTTCTCGCCATGACGATAATGGACTAAACCTCTGAAACTGTAAGCCAGCCTGAGTTAAATGTTTTCATTTCTAAGAGTTGCTGTGGTCATGGTGTCTCTTCACAGCAATAGAAATCCTAACTAGGACACCTGGTATTGCCCTCTCTCATGCTCAGACCCTGTGTCTGGGCTGGGCTTCTGGAGTCGGCCCCCTTCCTCATCCTTCAGTCCTGGTCCAGGCTCTTCCTGGCTGGGACCACTAATGCTGAGCAGGTCAAACGACCCCAATTTTCTCGTCACTGTATCCCACCATCCTCTTTGTCTCTGGAACCCCCAACTCAGGCATCTGGTGTCGCCCATCAGTTTGCTTAGTGGTGATGGGGTGTCTTGCTCGGTGTAGACAGCTCAGTGATCCCCAAGGACTCTCACGAGGCAGGAGACCCCTCAGAAGATACAGTAGACTTCCATTCTCTCCACTCTGCTTGCCAAAAATAAAGCCCCAAACCTTTGTTTGTACACTAGCAGCTACACAGGTCCACTAAAGGAAACTTAAATGCATAATTGAGAGGACAGAAGGCAGCCATTGTGCTACCACACCCAGGTCACCTGGGTCGGTCTGGTGTGTTCCTTTAAGCAGTCTCCGTCCAGCTGTGTAATAAACAGTTATAGTAACCATGCTATGTAGTAGCACAGCCCTCCCTCGGTTTTTCTTTTTTGAGACAGATCTCATTATACAGTCCAGGGTAGCTTTATACTCTCAGTTTAACTGACTCAGTGTAGAAGCACAGGCACATACTAACACACCCAGTCTCTCTCTCTCTCTCTCTCTCTCTCTCTCTCTCTCTCTCTCTCTCTCTCTCTCTCTTTGGTGTGTTTTGTAGGCCAGAGGGCAACATGTTTTGTGTTCTTTCTCAGTCCCTCTCCACTGTGTGTTTTTGAGACCTCGAAGCTAGCTCTCTGGTTGAGCTGGACTGGCTGCTTAGGAAGCCCCAGGGACCCTCCTGTCCCCGACCCCCCAGCACTGGGATTACAGGCATCACTGTCATGCGGGGACTTTTCACATGGATGCCACGGTCCAGATCCAGGTCCTCATGCTTGTGTGGCAAGCACTTTTCCCACCAGGCCATCACCCCAGCCTGATTTTCTGCTTCTAACTGAAGTATCAAATTATAAATAGTTCCTCCATGCTATTGGCTATATTTTGAAAACAATTTCTTGCCAGTACTGTCTCACTGCATGAAAAGTGAAAGTTGTCAAAACCAAAATGGAATCTTTGTGTCATATGTAACAAAAGGAAGGTAAATAAAGGAGACATCATAGGCATGGTGGCCTGATAGATAGTCACCATGGCAAAGCACTCTGTCAGAGCTACAGCCTGCATGGAGGAATTCCATGCAGCCTCATTCAAGGAATACTTGAAAAGGCAGCTGCCCAACACCTGTCTACCCAGCCTCAGGCAGATGCCCCGTTATAATCCTGTGACCAAGGACCATTTCTTGGAAATACCTGCTGTAAGATATTTCTCTCCTTGTCACCTTTAAGGCATCCCCCTGTGGCTGCCCCTTTGGAACCGCCAGCAGCTTATTCTGGCATACGTGTTCCATTGTGATGCTTGGTTATTCCTGATGCCTCAGTATTTTTTAGAGACTCTCCTTTGGGCTTTTAAAAAGATTGACATTTAATAAGTGTGTGCTGAGAGCCTCCTCCATGCCAAGCACTGCTGTAGGCACAGGAGAATCAAGCAATGTCACCACCTCACAGGTGACCTCTCACCAGTAAAGAAACATCCCACAAAGTGCTGTTCTGCTGGTTGGGGTGGAGCCTAAGGTATTAAACCTGTGTTTAGGAACATTCACAATGGAGAGGAATCTGTGAATGTTGGGGGGATACTGGGGCTTGCTGGATACTACTAGCCTAGCTCCAGATTCAGTGAATGCCTCAAAGGAATGGGGTGGAGAATGATGGGATACCTAATGTTTTCCTCTCACCTCTGTACACATACATCCAGGTGTGCACACCCTTACAGACGTGCTCCTACACCATACATCACACACACACACACACACACACACACACACACACACACCAAAGGAAAGAGAAGGGCCCACACAGAAACAGAAAGTTCTGGATTCCTTGCCCTATCTGCTTGTTCCATGAGTGAGACTCAAGGAGACGCACCCTTAGATATTGGGGTTCCCTTAAGAAAGGGGCTGGTGCCTTGCTCCCTGATACAGGTTCATATTACAGACCAGTGTGTGCCACATGGCGTTGCATGAGAGGTGCTTCTGGGAACTCAAGTGAGGGACTCCCAGGGCCAGAGAGCCTGCTCCCTGGCTCTCACTGTCCTGGCCATCTGTGACAGCTCATGGTGACAGTGGGAGGAGATGGCAGCTGCTGGCTTCCTGTACACCTGTCACTTGTCATGCACAAGTGGGAACCACCCAAAGCAGCTGCTGGAGATGTCGCTGGAGCCCAACCAGGAGACTTTGCTGCAACCCTGGCGGGCAGAGGGCTGAGAGTCAGGGGGAGGGACTGGTAGGGGTCATGAGAGGTCACTCACACGTCATAACGTCAGAGACAGGCCACGTGGACATCCCCAGTGGAGTCTACAGACAGAACCTAATGTAATTGTTGGAGGAGCAGTCACTTTGGACAATTGAAATCAACCAAGATAATGAGGGGACATTCCCCCACCCCAAGACTTGGTTCTTAAGGAAGTGTTACCTTTCTGCAGTGTGTGTCAGCAGGAGGGCTGGGCTTGCTCTCAAGAAAGCCATGGGTGACCCTCCTAGAACAGCACGCAGTTGACTCAAAGGTCCTCTGCCTCTCTCATGACTGTCCCTCTGAGTCTGTGGCTCCACTAAGACACTGGGGTATCGGAAGCTGAGGGGCGGGGTAGGGGGAGGAAAGGTTCCATCTCCTCATAGTGGAGTCTTGAACCAGGGCTTGAGTCTGCCTGGGGAGGTATTTTGGAGCAGACTGGACTCCTTAAAGAGTCTCCCAAACATGTGACCATTCTTAATACTGGAGATGCTCAGAGATGCTGGGTGGGGAGGGCTGTGGCTCAAGGTGTGGTGAAGAAAAGCTGGGGTTGGAGCGCAAAGTCATGTCAGGCTAGGACTCTCCCTGAACTGTACTGAGCCAGTGTCCTGTCCCGCAGCGTCCACTCGCCCGTCCCGCAGCGTCCACTCGCCCGTCCCGCAGCGTCCACTCGCCCGTCCCGCAGCGTCCACTCGCCCGTCCCGCAGCGTCCCCTCGCCCGTCCCGCAGCGTCCCCTCGCCCGTCCCGCAGCGTCCACTCGTCCGTCCCACAGTGTCCACTCGCCCGTCCCGCAGTGTCCACCCGCCCGTCCCGCAGTGTCCATTGAGCATCGACTGCAGCCAGCCTCTGAGCACAGTGCTGAATGGCCAGAGCTCCTGGAAACACCCTTGGTCCTAAGTATTCCATGCTTCTGGCCATGTCCCATGACTATGCTTTTGTATCGGTAGCTCCTCAGCCTGGAACCCCTGGCTTTTCTGCATTTGGTGAGCTTCCTGCAGGCTCAGGTCAGGCTCACCCCTTCTCATTCTCTCAGGACAATACTGGTATGCTTCAGTCACTGGCTCAGGTGTCATGTCCTTTCCCAGTCTAGGATCCCCTCAATAAAAGCAGTATTGAAAACCAGGGGTGGTGGTGCATGCCTTTAGTCCCAGCATGTGGGAGGCAGAGGCAGGCACAATTCTGTGAGTTCCAGGCTATCCTGGTTGACACAGAGATGTACAGGACAGTCAGAGCTACATAGTGAGATCCTATCTCAAAAGGTGGATTAAATTATTAAGACTGACTCGGACAGGCCTGTGAGTCAGCTGGAAGCACCTGCCTCCTTCCACTAGTCATTCTCAGAGATGCTCCCTGGAGACCCCGGGTGGGCTCTTCTTGTCTCTCAGGTGCCATGAGGAAGAATGGGAGAGAGCATATTAAAGGGACCTCAGGGTCTGGGTGGCTAGGCACAAAGCTGTCTTGGGGTAGAGGTTCCTTTTAGCCACAGCCCTTTCGAGAACCGTGGCTGAGCACTTACTGTGAGTCATCACCACTTGAGGAGACCAGCTGATGGGCATCCTCTACTACATGAGTACTTGTGGATTAGCACCTCAGGGGGATGACGGTGGTGGTGGTGGTGGTGGTGATGGTGATGATGGTGGTGGTGATGATGGTGGTGATGGTGGTGGTGATGGTGATGATGGTGGTGGTGATGATGGTGGTGATGGTGATGGTGGTGGTGATGGTGATGATGGAGATGATGGTGGTAATGATGGTGGTGATCATGATAATGGTGGTGATAATAGCTGTGATGATGGTGATGATGGTGGTGGTGATGGTGGTAATGGTAATGATGATAGTGGTGATGGTGGTGGTGATGGTAATGGTAATGGTGGTGATGGTAATGATGGTGGTGATGGTGATGAGAGTGGTGGTGATGGTGGTGATGGTGATGGTGGTAATGATGATGGTGGGGGTGATAGTGATGGTGGTGGTGATGGTGGTGGTGGTGATGGTGGTGGTGGTGATGGTGATGGTGGTGATGATAGTGATGGTAATGATGGTGATGATGGTGATGATAATGGTGGTGGTGATGGTGATGGTGGTGGTGATGGTGGTGGTGATGATGGTGATGGTAATGATGGTGATGATGGTGATGATAATGGTGGTGGGGGTGGTGGTGGTGATGATGGTGATGATGGTGGTGGTGATGGTGATGACGGTGGTAGTGATATATTGGATGGATGGAGATGATGTAATCTATATATGCATATATGTATGTATTACATATCTATTTTTATTTTATAGGCACATTTGTCTGTGTGAGGGAATCGGATTCCCTGGAACTGGAGTTACAGACAGTTGTGAGCTGCCATGTGGGTGCTGGAAATTGAACTCAGGTCTCTTGAAGAGCAGAGGACTTAACCACAGAGCCATTTCTTCAGCTCATGTATCAAATATCTAAATATGTAATAGTTATCTCTCCAGTGGCTTTTCCCATGATTCTTGCTTTTCTGCTAAATTTGAGCAATCCTTATTTCTTGTACCTGTTCAGGAATTCCTACCTCCCTGCTTTTATTTGTACTTCTAATTTTCCTGTTAATTCTTGATTCCTACTAAACTTTCAAGATCTACTTCAATGCTGCTTGTCACCTGATCACCCCCGAAGGGCTCAAGTTTTTGATTTCATGCATGTATACAACGAGTCTTGGTCGTATCTACCCCACACTCCCTCCCCCCTCCTTCCTGGAAACTTACCCCAACACATTGCCCTGCCACCATCACACTCTGCTCTTTTTATGAGTTAACTCACGGAGTTCAATTAGTGCTCTTCTCATAAGCGTGAATGGGGGGGGGACGTTCACTAGAGCAGGGCACTCTACCACGTGTGTACGTGGGTGTCACAGCGCACATACAGAGGCCAGAGGACAACCCTCTGGCGTTGATCTCTCCTTCCTCATTGGGCTCTGGGGGTCACACTCAGGTCCCCAGGCAAACGCTCTTACCCCTTAAGACATCTGTCCTTTATATTACACATTAATTATTAAATTAGCTTATAGTTTAGCTTAGTGGGTTTTCACAAGGCTTTCCATGTATATCCTTAATTTTGGTAAGCCTTCTCCCAACCCCTACCTCCCCAATTTTCTTGATCCCATCCCCACTTAATCCTTTGTTATGCTCTACTTTTCTGTCACTATATATTCTACAATCCTCACTCTACCCCCTTTAAGGCCTCTTCCCTCCCCCTCCTCTCACCGGCCAGAGCTAGATTCTTGACCTGTACGAACTCCGTCCTCTCACCTTAAGACTTTTCCATTCATGATTCATGGAGACCACTGGGGGCCACCATTCTCTTTCTGAAGCTGTGATCCTATCTGTGTCCTGGAACCTGTGACTGGCTTGTGGCTCATCGGCTAAGGAAATGCAAGGGGCTTCCCTGATGATAGGACAAGGCCCCCAAAGGTCTTGAGTTTGTCCCAGGACAGGAGCTAAGCAGCCACCATCTGAGCTGCCCTCTGCCCTATCCCAGACGAGGCTTGGCTCTGCCTGAGTTTTGCCACACCATGCTACCATCAGAGCCACCTACCAGCACACTCCTGTGTCCCTGCAGGCCACCTCCAGTCCTCAGAAGACATCAGCTGTGTGCTCGGGGAAGTCCTTGCAGGGGTAAGATTAGGTGTGGTGTGTAAACAGGAACGTTCCCCAAATGTCAAAACGTGCCACTTTGGTTGTCTTGGCAAAGCCTTCTTGACAGATTAACCCCCCCTGGGGAAGCTCAGCAGGCAGCAAATCCCTGTGGCAT